TGGCCAAAACTATCATTGCAATTTTGGCATTCAAGAGGAAAGAATGAGGCACTGGTAGGTGTCAGGAGCACCTATCTTTCATTGCCATCTCTTTCCTGATCCACGTGACTCTTCATAAAATTTGGCAAGGAATAACTTCACCCTTTACTCGAGGGGATACACTATTGGAGGCTGGATAGGTCACTCCCACATACAGTGAGGATTTGGTCACTGATACCTGGGCTTTTGGCTCTGGGGAGATCCAACGAGGCCTTTCTGGCCAAGAGCTTGCCTGACATCATCCATGAAATGACTGGATTACTTACTAAAGTGATTGGATTATTCAATAGCTATAAAACTGACTTTTGCATGTTGCTTTTGCTCCCGTGCCACTTTGCTAAATTCATTTATTAATTCTAAACTCTTTTTGTGAATTCATGGGTCCTTGACATATAATATGATCTGTGAATAGGAATACTTTGACTTCTTCTTGTTCAATTTGTATGCCTTTATTTTTCTTGCCCAATCACTCTAGTTAAAACATCCAGTACACAAACACAATCTTTTTTTCTTTTTAAAGTTATTTGGATCTTCGATTTTGCCTAATCTTCTCTTCTACATTTTTCAAATTGTGACATTTGCTCCAAAGTTGAAATTAAGGAAAAGATGATTTTTACTAACTCATTCACTGAAGTACTTTGTGCCTGTCTGGTGCTGGGGAGGACAATACACTGGCTGGGCTCGGTGCATTCTGGCTGACTGCTGTCATTATTTGTGGTCTTGTCTTGTCATTGGTTTATAGACATCACAGAGGACACTGGTCTCAAAGTGGGATTTCTGCAGCAAGGTCAAGAATCATTGTTATTATTCAAAATAAATAGCCAGATGAAGAGATAAATAGGGCAAGGTCTAGAAGGGTCTTTCATGCAGGAGCTTCTGTCCCTGTGGAGCTGGGGTACGCCACCTTCCCAGCAAGTAAAGCTGAAAACCCCCATGTGTTCACTATTCAGAAGCTCCTCAGGGGCCAGCCCATGGCTCATTTGGGAGAGTGTGGTGCTGACAACACCAAGGCCACGGGCTCGGATCCTATATGGGGATGGCCGGTTAGCTCAGTGGCTGAACGTGGTGCTGACAACACCAAGCCAAGGGTTGAGATCCCCTTACCGGTCATCTTTTTTTTATTTTTAAAAAAAGAAGCTCCTCAGTACACAGCCTTAAACAGTAGTAGCAAGTTAGTAAAGGCTCGACAGGTTTTTTTAAATGGATAAATAATAAAATATAATAAATAAAATATAACCTTATAACATACATTTAACATATAAATAATATAAATTTTATACTCTTAAGGCCATAAAATAACATAATATGAAAACATAATATAAAAGTAATTAATAATAAAAAATAAAAATAGACATTATACAAAGACTCTCCTCTGACCACCATGGGATAAACTTAGAGGGAAAACTTGAAAATTCACAGATTTGTGAAAACTAAACATTTGCTTGAACAACAAATGGACCAAAGAAATAATAGGTAAAATTAGAAAATACCTGGAGATGAATGAAAATAAAAACCTACTATATCAGAACTATGGAAAACAACAAAGCGAGTGCAAAGAAAAAAATTGAACCCTTTTTCAGCTGTGAGACTATTATTGTGTGGCTGCTTGTGGCTGCTGAGCTGATGACAATGTGGTTGCGAGGGACAGAGTGGCTGAGTTGTGGGGGCCCCATGACCTGTGTTCTGCCACTGCTTCCTCCACCGCCTCACCTCACAGCCACCTGGATTGCTGTAGAGACATTTTCCAAAGAATGGGGTGGGTGTGGATTCCCAAAAATGTTTCCCAGCAACAAGACACAGAGAAGGGGCTTGAGATGAAAAATTTACAGCTGAAAATGGCCAGAAGACTGGCCCCCAAAAGACATGGTGCTGATAACCCAGGATTAGGAAGACTTCAAGGAAATCCCACTTGGGGGAAAACCATCGAAGAGTGTCTACATTTCAGAACTACAGAAATCCCAAAGATGTGACCCAAGAACCGTGTTGTAAACTTAAAACAGACTGTGGGAGACCAGTCACATCTACCAGATGTTTGGAATGTGTGAATGTGTGTGCAGGTGGGACCACCGGGGGTGTTTCCTTGTACCAGTAGAAGTTTCAAGACAGGCCTGTTGGGGCCCTGAGTCCATCTTCCCCAGTCTATTAACTCTTCCTAAGAAAGATCACATGGTGTTGGAAAAAAATGTTACACACGTAAAAATAAAGGCTCAAGAGAGTTTCATATTACATTAAAAAGTTTTCAACTAAAGTTTTCAACTGAAATGTTTTAAACTAAAACTTTTAACAATTGCAAAAATAAAGATTGTCCATACCTATCTCTACAGGAAATCATGACTATTAATCCCAGGAATGCAGGACTGTCTGTATTGCTCCCTATTGTCTCCATCCAAAGCTGAACAGTTCCTGAAACATTGTGTAAGATGTACTAGACGTGGAAACAGAAATGACCAGTGGTGACATCCTCATTCGCTGAGGCCCCTTCCCACCACAGAGAAGAGACACACACCCCAGCTTCCTTATTATTCACGTCAGCACTTACTTTCCTTCAAAGTCCTTATTTCCATTTTATAAACCAAAGTTTTACTACTCGTTCACCATCTCTCCTCTCTCACAAAAACATAATCACCACGATTGCAAAAATTTGTTTCTTCATGCCTCAATATTCAGAACCTAGAGTGTCTGAATGATTTGGCTTACTTGTCCATGTTTTGTGTCTACAGTGCCTGGTTAAGTGAGGGGTAGTGACAAATTAGCACGTACATGGTAATATTGACTCACAATGTCTAATGAATAAGTTGGGAAAATTATAAAAGTTGATCTAATTCATGATTGCAATGGGATATTTTAATATATCTTCTTGGCATATGAAAAAGACAATGACATTTGTTAGTATACAATTTGTTTGGAAACAGTTAATAAAATATTTCTAACAAATAAGTACAGAACTCTTCCTCAAGGAATAAAATGCATAGTTTTTAATCACAAATAATCAAACATTATTGAAAATGGATTGAAACATTACATTCACCTGTGAGATACAAACACCTGCAATCTTCCTGACACGAGGAAAGTGTTTACTCTCACTTGAAAGTACTGGGTGAAAGCAGTCACTGCCCAAAGCATAAGAGGAACAATCTCCCATCTACTTGTTTTTTGTTTGTTTGTTGTGGTTTTTTTTGGTGGCTGACCAGTACCAGGATCTGAACCAGTGACCTTGGTATTAAGGGTACACTCTAACCACTGAGCAAACTGGCCAGCCCCATCTAGTTGTTTTAGATGGACACTGTTGTAGCTGTCATGCTGAATCAGAAACTGTAGCTACCACTAAGAACAAAGTTGTTTCCTATGCAAATTAGGCCTTATACGAATTCAATCTATAGAATCTTATACGAATTCAATCTATAGAATAGGGAAGTCATACCATCAGAGAATATTCCCAGTCCAAATTGGTTGCCCAGTACACATATTAAGGTTTGCAGACAAATCCAAACTGCAGATGGATCTTTTGTGTGGATCTTCTGGAAACATCTCTTTGAAACCTACCCCTCAGAAAATGGAAGTCAAAAAGTTGATGGTGGGTTTGAGGACACTCTTGATTTCAGGTAAAAGAATCAAGAAAATGGGCTGGAGGCAGATTTCACACAGCTCGTACACATCTCTAGACTGTGTGTGGTGCCTCTAAAACATGATGTCTTCTTTACTTTTGCCTCCTAACTCTTATAGAAGTTGCCTATTAGTGAATTCTAACATAAAACCATAAAAGAAATGGATTCTGAAAAATCTTGTTCCCAACATTTCCACATTGCCATAACACAATTAAGGAAATCCATCTCCAACTCTAGATTTTATTGTCCTATCACAGGACTCTCTTAATTCAAAGTCAATTGTCCAAATAACAGCCAGAAAAAAATGAGAGTAAAGGGTAAGAGATGAAAATTATAATTCCCATGAGACTATACTCTATGATAAAATTTACATACTTACAAATTGAATCAACTCTTTATTAGCAAAGAAAATAAAATAAGCTTATTTGCCACCACCCCCCAAAAGAAGTTTTCCCCATAATTAAGAAAGGTGGAATAAATATAATGGGTGAGAGATATCCAGAACTGCCAATGGAGGCCAGAAAGAAAATCCCAACAATCAACAAAGACTCATTCATTTTTCAATGGGCCATTAATAATAGAGCAATGAAACTATACAATAATTAAACCTACCTGCATATTGGAAATACATTTCATTCAACCCATGGATCCAAAACACTTCAAAATAGATACAGCAAATTTTTAAGTGACTTAAGAAAAAAACACTACCTATTAAACTCATACCCTATTGTTTAGAATACTACAGAATTATCTCATCTATATATTTTTCACAATAGTAAGAAGCCAAAATCCACAGTCAAAAGAGCCACTTTAAGAATGAGCCACTGATAAAGATGAATTTTATAACATTTCCTTCAGATTATGTGTTTTCTGGAGCTTTGTGCATGTATTAATTTGCATTAGGCTTTTCATATACTTACATTTACAGGATTTCTCTACATTGGGAGTTTTCATGAGACTTTGAAAATAGTTTGTTAAAATTGAAAACGTTCCTGTATTTTTCACATTTACATAGTTTCAATCCAACATGCATTCTTACACATTGTTGTAAAGATGTGGGCCAAATGAGGACATTGCACACTGCTTATATTCAAGAAGTTTATGGGCCGGCCCGGTGGCGCACTGCTATAGTGCGCCGCTTGGGAAGCGCGGTGGCGCTCCCGCCCAGGGTTCGGATCCCACATACAGACTGGTTCCCGCTCACTGGCTGAGCGAGGCGCGGGAGCAACGCCGAGGGTTGCGATCCCGTTGCCGGTCCCGGTCCGGTACGGGCGCGACACTGAGGGTTGCGATACGTTGCCAGACACGGAAAAAGACAAAAAGGAAAAAAAAAAAAAGAAGTTTATCTCCACTTTTGTGTTCTTTCATGGCTTCAAATTTAACTGGGATGACAAAAGGCTTGACCACACTTTTTTAATTTATAGGGTTTCTCCTCATTATGTACTCTCAAGTGTGCTAGACAGGCTGTGTGATGATGAAAGCTTTTCCACATTGCTTATGAAGGATTTCTGTTGATTATGAGTTCTTTCATGCTTTCGAAGGGAACTGGAACGACTGAAAGCTTTCCCACATTTCTTACATTCATAGGGTTTCTCTCCAGTGTGAGTCCTTTCATGTTTCCGTAAAGAACTGGAACAATTAAAGGCTTTCCCACACTCATTACATTTGTGTGGTTTTTCTCCAGTATGAGTTCTTTCATGTATTCGGAAGTTACTGGAACAATTGAAGGCTTTACCGCACGTTTTGCATTCATAAGGTTTTTCTCCGGTGTGAGTCCTCTCATGCACTCGAAAATAACGGGCACAAGTGAAGGCTTTACCACACTTTTTACACTCATAAGGTTTTTCTCCAGTGTGAATCCTCTCATGTAAATGAAAAGAACTGGAGAGACTGAAGGCTTTACCACATATTTTACATTCATAGGGCTTCTCTCTTGTGTGAGTCCTTTCATGCATTCGCAAGGAACTGAAACTACTTAAAGCTTTACCACATTGTTTACATTCATATGGTTTCTCTCCAGTGTGATTTCTTTCATGTACTTGAAACTTACGGGGGCTAATGAAAGCTTTCCCACATTTCTCACATTTATAAGGTCCATCTCCTGCATGCATTATCATGTGTCTTCGAAAGGTTGCAAGAGAAATGAAGACTTTTCCACATTCTTCACATTCATAGTATCTATTATTTCTGGTATGAGATCTTTCATGTGTTTGAATGTAATTGGAAAGACTGAAGGCTTTACCACATTTTTTAGATTCACAGGATTTTCTTCCAGTATGTATTCTTTCATGTACTTGAAAGGAGTGGTGAGAAGTGAAGGCTTTTGCATTTTCCTTATATTCATATGTCTTCTCTCCATATTCTAGACACTCATATGGTTTATGTCCACTGTGAGCTCTGCTGTGCCCATTAAGGGATGAATGACCAATGGAGCATTCTCCACGCACACTGCCTTCACACATTTCTACTCCAGGACGGGTTTTCTTGTTGAGATTAAGATTTGAAATTTGGCTGACAGTTTCTCCACATTGACTACTTTCTTTGCTGTCACTGAGTCTTCCTACCATATGTCTCCTGTAAGAAATGAGAAGCACAATATTAAGGGTTTGTTTATTAATGATTTTATACTTAATAATAGGTATTATGATTATATTTTTAACATTATCAGGGAAAGTCCAGGCTTTATGTCCTCTCTGTATTGGTTAAACATGAATGGATTGAATGCTCTCAAGAGGTCTTGATCACAGCTATTATCAAAACAATAACATTCATATGAGTTTTCTTAGTACTGTTTCCAAGTGAACTATTTTGCAAACACTGAACATCTATGTAATATTTAAGTATATATTTTTGGAGAAAATTCTCTAAGCATATATAAATGTGAGGCTAGGCTTATTTGTTTTCTTGCTTTTTAAAAATTTTTCGTGACGGGCCGGCCTGTGGCTCACTCGGTAGAGTGCGGTGTTGATAACACCAAGGCCACGGGTTCGGATCCCATATAGGGATGGCCGGTTTGCTCACTGGCTGAGCGTGGTGCTGACAACACCAAGCCAAGGGTTGAGATCCCCTTACCGGTCATCTTATAAAAAAAAAAAAAAAAAATTTCATGACATACTATGATTCTCTCCAGGGACACTGATTTCTTTTACAAGTGCAAATTACCTTAGATCTCTCCCAATATTTTTGTACCGATCTTCAATGTTCTGGTATTTCCATTTTTTCCCTAAAATGTAGACCCATAAAAATTATTATGAATGAGTACAAAATTATAGAAAAATTATTAAATTCCAGGTTCTTGGTACACTAGGGCATTCCTGATTTGTTCACCAAATTGTGCCAAATCATGGAACAGCATTGATCACTAAGAAACACTTGTTCTCTTATTGACTAGGTAAAGGAATTATGTTATCCTTACCTATAAAGGCCAGGTGTCTGATGGTTTCCCACATCACATCTCTGTACAGATTCTTCTGGGAAGGATCCAGCAGAGCCCACTCCTCCTGGGTGAAGTTCACAGCCACATCCTCAAAGTCTATTGAATCCTAAAACATCCCACATGTGTAAGAAGGCTGGGTGAGACTGACAGCACTGGGGATCTACACACAATTCATAAACTGTCATGATGCTGTGAACTCCATACATTTATTCTATGATTTGGTCAAAAGAATGTGACAAAAGAACTTTCTGTTCACATTCCCTTTCATACAGGAATTTTGATGCTAGGACTAAACCCTTCAGTAAAGCAACAGAAAAACAGAAACACACCTCTAACTGGTGGGTCCAGGAAGTAAGATGTGTTGCCTGGGTGACCCCTACTGTCTCTTTGTACAGTGGGTCTATACCACCTGTCACAACAAAGTCCTACTAACTAGTGTTCAGAAGAAGCAACAGTGGCAGGCCTGACACTGCTTATACTTGGAAATACTTGTTTACAAAGTTTGACCTTTGCTGATATGGGAACTGGTATCACCAATCTAAATGATAAGTGTGTCTTGGTATTCCTCAATGGTTTATACAAACAATATGGTGATTGCTGAACTCCTGTTTTCCTTCTGAGAATTTGGAATTTTGTTACACGCTCGGCAGAGGGTGCCTACATAATCAGTCCCCCCAAAACACTCCAGGCACTGGGTCTCTAATGAGCTTCCCTGGTAGAAAATATGTCACACATACTGTCACAACTTGTCACATCAGGAATTGAGTCCATCCCACATTGAGTAATCACTGAGAACCTTTGGAAGCAGGCACCTTGTTTCCTCTAGTCCAAATTTAATTAAGTACCAAATAAGATTAATGAAGGATATCTCACCATCCTAAGAGAACATTTTTGCATTTTTTATTCCATGATGTCAAAGGAAAATGAAATAAAGCAAAAGATTACACATGTTCTTAGAAAGAACTCAATGTCACCAAGATGTCACCTGTCAGAAATAGCTATAAAATTCCACAAATCCCAAACCAGACATTTTAGGAGTCAACAAAACCTACTTTTCCAAATCTAATAGAATCAACAAATGTCTACTAACAGTCCAAGTCTTCATAACAACACAATGACGGCTTGCCTAGCACAAGTCAAGGATTTTGAAACTATAATATTCTGGACAGCATAGGATTAACAGAGATGATTTATATCGGTTAGAAGGACAAAAATTAGTCAATTAGATAACGTCAAGTGTTGATGACCGTAAAGAACAAATAAATATAGTTACATATAAATAAAGGAGGGGTCAATTCATACACCCCATTGCTATCTCCTGCCATAAAGTAGAGCCCAGCAATTTTTTTCTAATGTTCACAGAATTTATGGAGCACTTGCACTTGGAGACTGATATAAAATGATAGAAGCAGAGAATAAACTTAAAGCCCACACACCACAACCACTAGAATAGATGAGTAAATTCAATGGTCTGAAGCCTCAGATACCAGCATGTATGAAACCTCCTGAGGAAAAAAAGAGACACCATTGAAAAACCTTTTCATTGTAATCCCATTAATATTCATTTATTGGAAGTTCAAAAAAGGCAACTAAAAGAACAATCCTTAGTGAAAAGTAACAGATGGTGAAGATATGAAAAATAACCCAAGAATCAGGACAGTGGTCATCTGCGGAGCAAAGACAAGGATGAGTCAGGGAGGAGACTCTTAACAACTGTCCAAGGCCCAGTTATGAATCTTGATGAGGATTCCAAGGATATTTATATTGTTACTATTACTAAATCTTACCACCAACTTCCCATTCATTCTTTTGTGGATATATTTTATGATAAAAATTTAAAGAATGAAAAAGAACATAATTTGTATACTTGTACATTCATCTGCCCTGTAACACGGCAGTCTGAGATTTAATTCACAGACTTGGCAGAAAAAACAAACACAAAGCAGCAGAGCTCACAACAACATGACCCTGGCAAACAGCAGGTCAAAGTGCAGCCAGCCATCGAGTAGCAGAACAGGTTAGCAAGTTGGAACAAGAGAGACAGACCTGTGGGGTGGTGGTCCATGTCTAGACATCCTGCTTATGGTGCCAACTGTTATGGTCTCATGAGTCTTATTCACATTTGGGCATGCTGTTCTAACTATTATTACTTTCTCTTTGATTGCTGTTCCTTGAAACACAGTATATACCCATTTCCTTAATTTTAAAAATCTTTCAGAATTGTTTATCTCCAGATTAAAGTTTTACTTAGGGACTCAAGCTCATGGCAAGATGAGTGGAACTGACTTGGTTTCATCAGCAAACATGAAAAAATGGGAGTCAGACGCCTCCAGTTTCCACTCTAGCAGTAAGGACATAGAAGGTGACGTTCACATTCAGACAAGAAAAAAGCAAACAAACTTAAAACCAACAACTCTTCTTAGATCCATCAGAGAATTAAGATCACAGGGCACACCATTTTCTCCAAATTGGAGAGACAGAAAGGCAGATATGGGGAATCATAACTTACCAGAACATGTTATTTACATATAACCAGAAACCTCTGTAGGAAGCAGTACTGGGACAGGAAAACTTAAACTGTAACGGTGAATTGCTGAAGTCTGAGTATGGGCAATTTCGAGAGTTACAACTTCCAGTGTGACAGTATTAAAGGGGGCCCCACAATTTTGTGAGATTTACCTCTAGAGGAGTGCATTTCTCAGACCTTATTTAAGAAGTCTCTAGGGGAGCATCAACAAATTGAATAACATCAATGAAGGGAACAAATTTCTAGAAACACATAATCTCCCGAGACTGAGTCATTGAGAAATAGAAAATCTGAGCACACCTATAACTAATAAGGAGATTGACGCAATAATCAAAAGGCCCCTGCTATGGTATGAACGTTTGTGTTCCTTCCAAAAATTCATGTTGATCCCCAGTGCAACAGTTTTAAGAGGCGAGGTCTTTAGGAGGTGATTAGGTCATGAAGGCTTTGCCCTCGTGCTATAAAAAGGGCTGGAGAGAACCAGGTAGGCTCTTCTACCCTTCCATCTTCTGCCATGTAGATTGAACAGCTATGTAGGATAAACAAGTCTAGAGAACTAACGCATGACATGAGGACTTAAGTTAATAAAATTGAACTGTATTAGGGATTTTTGATAAATATGTGGATTTTAGCTGCTCTTGTCACAAAAAGTAACTGTGTGAGATTACAGATACATTAACCTGATTCACTGCTATAACCACTGTAACGTGCCATATCTACCCGTAACATCATGTTGTAACACACAAATATACAATAAAATTTATTTTTAAAAAAAGAACACTAATCCTCCCCAAACTCTTTCAAAATATTTAACACTTTCAAACTCATTCTACGAGACCAAAGTTACCTTCACAACAAAGATTAAGACTCTAGATAAAAGACGGATATAGACAAATGTCCTTTATGAATACTGATGCAAAAATCCTCAAATAAATACTTAGTTAAGGTTACAGTAATCAAACCAGTGCTGTACTGGCATAGACTGTTATATGGACCAGTGGAATAGAATAGAGAACCCAGAAGAATGCCCTCACATATACAGTAAGATGTTTTTGACAAGGTGCCAACATCATTCGATGAGAAAGAACAGTCTTATCAAAAAATGGTGCTGGGAAAATTGGATATCCACATGTGAAAGAATGAATGAACCCTTATCTATCTCGTACCATGTAAGAACATGAAATAAAACTGGATCAAAGACCTAAAGGTAAGAGCTAAAACTAAACAACTCCTAGAAGAAAACATGCAAACAAGCAAAAGCCTCAGGACATTGGATTTGGCAACGATTTCTTGGCTATGACACTTCAAGCATAATAATAAAAAATGTTTTTGATTTCACCAAAATTAAACACATTTGTACATCATAGAACACTACAACACAGGGAAAAGGCAATCCATATAATTGGCGAAAATAACTGCAAATCATGTATCTGGGAAAGTGTTAATATTGAGAACGTATACAGAAATTTTATGACTCAACAACAAAATCAAACACCCAAAAGAAAAAATGTTGGTGAAGATGTCAAGTGTTACGTTGGTGAGACAAACTTAATAAAAGACTCTGAGCCAAACGTTATCAAGCAAGGGAGTTTACTCCAGCAGACCTGGAAGGGAAACTGAAAGATCAGGGTTTCACCCGTGTACAGACTAGCAGAGACTTTACAGGAGTCTGGGAGGGGGGTGGGCAACTATTCTGAGTGCTCAGCATTCCCTAATGGCTTCGCAGTTTTCCTGTTTTGTACAAGATGTTCTTATGGAAATGCACCAGACTTGAGGGAAAGGGATGGGGTAGGGGGACAGGGTAAGTTGTAGCCAACATGTCTCTGTTTATGATAAGCTGATTGTGAGGCCTAACATTGAGAAATTAAAACTCTTGTGCACTGTTGAAGGAAATGTAAACTAGTATAGCTCCTGTGGAAAACAGTATGGAAGTTCCTCAACAAATTCCTCAAAGAAATAGAATTACCATACATTCCAGCCATCCCACTTCTGGGTATGTATGTTTTCAAACCAAAAGAATTAAAACCAGGACCTTGAAGAGATATATGCACATACGTCTTCATTGCAGTGTTATTCACAATAGCCTAGAATGGGTCAATATTGACGAGCATTGGCAAATAAATGGATAAACAAAATATGCTATATACATTCAACATAATATTATTTAGCCTAAAAAAAGGCATACTGTCACATGCTACAACATGGACCAAACCAGTCACAAAAAGAAAAATACTGTATGTCTTTTAGATGAGCCAAGTAAAGTCATCAAACTCAAGGCTGGCCCCGTGGCTCACTCGGGAGAGTGCGGTGCTGGTAGTGCCGAGGCCGCAGGTTTGGATC